TCTGATATGTTCACCTACAACTTAACACTTTAAACATATGGTGTGTACACAGCTGTTGTCTTTTTTGGACACACCTGCTAGCTGCTCTGGGGTCCCTTTTTGGCTCAGTATTGTGCTAAATTTATTTGAATTCATTTCCAACCTGCCTTCTCCCTACAATACAGTGGTGCCTCGCAAGACGAAATTAATTCGTTTCCGCAAGTCTCTTCGTCTTGCGGTTTTTTTCGTCTTGCGATGCACGGTTTCCAATAGGAATGCATTGAAAATCAATTAATGCATTCCTAGGGAAACCGCCTTCAGACCAGGTCCGGGGACAGACTGTCCCCGGACCTCTTCTGAAGGCTGGGGGGGGGGGACAAGGGCTTTTCTTCCCACCCCCAGCATTTTAAAAAACCCTGAGACAGCGGAGGACTTCTCCGCTGTCCGGGCGATCTTAAAATGCTGGCGGGCGGCATTTTAAAATCGCCCCGGGACAGCGGAGGACTTCTCCGCTGTCCGGGGCGATTTAAAAGCCCCTGGGAAGGCAGGCAGGGGGGACAAAGACTTTCGCCCCCCGCCCGCCTTCAGAAGGTGTTCCCGCCCCCCCCCCCCCGCCCGGCTTCACAGCAGCGCTACGAAGCCCGGCGGCTGGGGCAGGTGTTCCCGCCCCCCCACCCCGCTTCGGAGCAGCGTTCCGAAGCGGGGTGGCTGGGGCAGGTGTTCCCGCCCCCCGCCCGGCTTCGCAGCAGCGCTACGAAGCCCGGCGGCTGGGGCAGGTGTTCCCGCCCCCCCCACCCCGCTTCGGAGCAGCGTTCCGAAGCGGGGTGGCTGGGGCAGGTGTTCCCGCCCCCGCCCGGCTTCGCAGCAGCGCTACGAAGCCCGGCGGCTGGGGCAGGTGTTCCCGCCCCCCACCCCGCTTCGGAGCAGCGTTCCAAAGCGGGGTGGCTGGGGCAGGTGTTCCCGCCCCCCGCCCGGCTTCGCAGCAGCGCTACGAAGCCCGGCGGCTGGGGCAGGTGTTCCCGCCCCCCCACCCCGCTTCGGAGCACCGGGAGAAGCGATCTCCCCGCAGCCCCTTGCTTCAAAAGAGGTCCGGGGGCAGACCTCTTTTGAAGCAAGGGGCGGTGGGGAGAAGCGATCTCCCCGCCGCCCCTTGCTTCAAAAGAGAAGACCCGCTGTCCCCGGGGCAAGCTTCGTTTTGCGAAGCAAGCCCATAGGGAAATTCGTCTTGCGAGGCAACTCGAAAACGAAAAAACCTTTCGTTTTGCGAGTTTTTCGTCTCGCGAGGCGTTCGTCTTGCGGGGTACCACTGTACTCATTTTGTAAAGTTCAAAGATCCCGTAAATAAAGGGGTAGGGCAGTCATGAGGGTCATGGCTCACTGGTAGAGCATCTGCTTTCTGTGCAGAAGGTCTCTGCTTGAATATCAGCTGTCTCTGCAGATGTTTCCTGCCTGAAGCCCTGGACAGCTGCTGCCCATCAGTGCAGGCAATATTGCGCCTCAGGCAGGAATGGTTTGACACACCACAGGTAGCCCTGCTAGCCTGTTGCTGCAACATAAACAATAGTCTTGTAGTATGAAACTGACAAACGAGTATTATTAAGCTTTTGTGCACTACAAAAGGCACATTTCCTTTTATTACTCTCACCTGCTGTCTCTTGTTTTCTATTCTCTGAGGTTTGTTAAAGTATTCTTATTTGGCTGACTTTGCAAGATAATAGTTCCAGTGTGGTGTAGTGGTTAAGAGCAGTAGTCATGTAATCTGGGTAACCGGGTTCGCGTCTCCGCTCCTCCACATGCAGCTGCTGGGTGACCTTGGACCAGTCACATTTCTTTGAAGTCTCTCAGCCTCACTCACCTCACAGAGTGTTTGTTGTGGGGGAGGAAGGGAAAGGAGATTGTTAGCCGCTTTGAGACTCCTGAAGGGGAGTGAAAGGCGGGATATCAAATCCAAACTCTTCTTCTTCTTCTTCTTCTTCTTCTTCTTCTTCTTCTTCTTCTTCTTCCAAAATGTGATAAGCTGCTAGCACATTTGCAAAGCTAAGCAGGGTCAGGTATTGCTTCAAACTGGACGGGGAGCTGTGTGTTGAGTTTCCAGCATCGGACTAGATGACCCCTGGGGTTCCCTTGAATTCTATTATTCTCAATATTAATTTTTCAATTATATTTCATTACTTTCACCAGTTTCAAATTTGTTATCCATTTCTCTTTGGGATTTGCCTCCCTGCCTTTCCTTCCATGCTGTTTTTGTACGCTTCCCTTTTACACACTGCATGATATCACCTGTTTCACCTAATACAGGTTCCTCTATTATATCACATACTATTAATTTCTATCATTCTCATTTTGCTTTTGTTTTGCTTTTTCCCTCCCCGCCCCCAAACAGGCTTCCCTTCTCCGCTTTAGCTGAACCTCCCGCATTCTCTCCTTCAAGTGCCAGCGCACATCTCCCGAAGCATCTCTATGTCCCACTAGGCGCAGTTAGCTCCGCCTAACTACTGGCGACGCATGCGCGGTCTGCCGCGACGCCGTTGGAGGCTAGTATGGCGGGGGCGGGGCAAAGGGGGCGGGGCCGCGCGCTTCTCCGCCACGCCGCCGTGCCTTATACTTGAGTAGCTCCGCCTAACTGCTGGCAGCGCATGCGCAGCTTTCCTCCGCGCTGCCGTTGGCGAGCAGCCTTGTGGGGCGCAAGATGGCGGCGGCGGCGGCGGCGGCGGCGCTGCAGGCGGCGTCTCGTCAGGTGAGGGTCGCGGTCGCGCGTGTCTCCTCCTGGGGGGCCGCCCTTCCCCCCGCGCCGGGGTGGCCTCGGCTGCGGGTTGTCAAGTTTCAGCCCCGTCAGAGACGGAGCCGCGCCTGGCGGGTGTTTCGCCTCCCCGCAAGCGGGTTGTTTTGTGCGCCGCCTTTCTCCCGAGAGGGGCTCGAGGCGGCTGACAGATCGGGAACGTAGAAAAGGCGACAATTAGAAAGCACACAGAGTCCTTTCCAGGCCTGTGCTCGGGTGGGGGGGTGGTGAAGGACACAAGCGTCTCATTTCGCTTGGAGAGGTGTCAGCTGCTGTGGAGGTTGCCCTTGGGGGACAGAAAGCCGGGATTTCGTCCCGTGGGTTATTGGGCCCCAAAGAGAAGCCCACACCAAAGTCTCCCTCCCTCCACGCCGCCAGAAGAAACTCAGGAATGTAAATAGTCTTTTGCTTGGTTGCCTGTAGGAAATAGTGTACTGCAGTGCCCTCTGCTAGCCAGGCATGCATTCCCCCTGAGTCACCCCATCGGGGTGCTACAAATTACAAACAATTGTGTCTCCAGGTGGGTAGGCTAGTAAATTATTTGTGGTCTTTCCCTCCCAAGACTAAATCTGGAAAAACGTTTGTCAGCAAATCAGGTAAAAGTATAATTAGATTTTGTAAAAGAACAGATGCACTGATGAATATCTGGACGCTTGCATCTGATTACTTGCACAAAATGTACCACACTTTGACCCCGATTTATTTTTGTTGTAATAATAGATCTTCCGCATCCCATGTGTTGGACAAGTAAGGGGTTATTATGTGGACTGGAGGATGGTACGTGATGTTAAGAGAAGGAAGATGGCTTTTGAATATGCAGATCAGAGGCTGCGGCTGAATTCCCTTAGGAAAAACAAAATTTTGCCCAAAGAACTCCAGGTAAGATGAAAATACTGTTTTAAGATATTCTTGATTGTAGCAATGAACCAGGCATCCCCTCCCCATCTACATCACAGATTCAAAAATATTTTTTATTTCAGCATGATATAACCATTGTAGGTTATGAACAGGTCATGAATAGAATCATCTCCTGATTCATTTCCCACAGTACATCCATTGCTTTTTACATACTTTTTTTTAGTCATTGGTTTATCCCATTTCTATTCTTTCAAGGAGCTAAGAGTCCACTAAGCAAATAATACGATGGAAGCAGCTAGCCAGTTGTGTGCAGTTACAGTATTACACAGAGGATCAGTTTGGAATGCAACCTACTGCTTGGGAATCCTGTAATTTTGTTTTAAGTTATTGTGTCTTCATTGTGGTGGGTTCCCTGAAGTGGCATCTATTATGCATTGAAAACCTTTCACATGGTGTCTTTCAATTAAAAATTCCAGGCAGTTTTTTACTGGTTATTCTGTTCCAGACTGTACTTTTTAAAAATTTAAAAGGCATCATGAAAGCTCTTTTGTTTTCTATATGCTTTTAGAATTTAACTGTTGGTTGTTCTCCATAGTGATTCAGTCCTTTTACAAAATTCCTTTTTCTTTTTCTAAATGTATTATTGTAGGTAGTGTTTTTGTTGACTACCTGTGTACATGTGGCATTTGAAGGCTCCAGGAACAAACTGCTAAATCGTTAAAGAAAACAACACTGTTATAGTAATTTATTACAACACTAGGGCTGACCTGCCCTCCGCCATTCCTCACCCATTAACTTCCTAGACCTTCCCCTTCCCACACTATGCAACTACTAAGATTGCTTTTCACTGAAGCTGCTTATCTCTTCAGTTTTGCAACCCTACTTTGCGCTCATTTTTACCTTCACCCCATGTCCATGCTTCTTCCCTCTCCCTTTGTGCAAGCAGCCTTGCACACAAACTTCCCACACAGTAACATCCTGTATCTAACTCCACCTACGCATTGCAACTATGCACCCTTTTCATCTTCTGCCCAAGTATGAAGCCACCATCCCTTTCATCTTCCACCCTATTCCCACGCCTCCTACTCCCTCTTTTTTCACAAACCACCTTGCACCCCCAATTTCATCTTCACTTCCTTTTCCCCTCCATATTTCCTCATTTTTCTCAACTCTCCCTTGCAAAAAAATTAAGAAAATATGAGGATCGCTTGAAGGAGTTGGTTATGTTTAGCCTGGAAAAGAGGAGACTGAGATAGCCATTTTCTTAAGGGCTGTCACATGGAAGTTGGAGCAAGCTTATTTTCTCCTGCTCTGGAGGGTAGGACTCGAGGCAATGGCTTCAAGTTACAAGAAAGGAGATTCCGACTAAACATTTGGAAAAACTTTCTGACAGTAAGAGGAGTTCAGTAGTGGAACAGATTCGAGACACACGTTATTTTTGCCAGTGAGTTTGCAGATTCCTAGCTGGAGGAATTAAAGCTTTGATTTGTCACAACCATAGTGGTTGTAAAACTGCTGCTGCTGTCACATTTACTTCCTGTGTTGCTAAACTTTTAAGAGACAGTGTCCTTGTGAATGATATATTCTACATGTGTCTCCCAATTTACACAGGGCTTACATTCTGGACCTCTGTATGAGTCAGTGAAATGTGTGTAAATGGGAAGCACCTTAGAAAATCTGAGTGGCTTGTGAGGAGGACCCCCCTCCCAGCCCAAAGAGGATGTCCTCTTCTGGCTCTGCAAAGGGTCTCCTCGCAAGTCACTAGGACTCTCTATGGTGCTCCCCATTTCCAGGTTTCAGCGGGTTGAATGCAAATAGATGGTGTGTAAATGGGGTGCTGCCTGTAGTAGCTCCAGGACTACCGATGGGTATTACCGCTGTTTTTATTTGTTCCAGGAAGTGGCTGAAAAAGAGATTGCTGCCCTTCCCCGGGACACCTGCCCAGCGAGGATCCGTAATCGATGTGTTCTGACATCCCGTCCACGAGCTGTAGTGTGGCGATGGAGGTTAAGCCGAATTGTCTTCCGCCATCTGGCTGACCATGCGCAGCTCTCTGGAGTACAGAGAGCAATGTGGTGAGCCACCACCAACAAGGCTTTTCTTCAAAAAAGACAAAACTGAGTTCTATTTCAACTCCTAGGATGAATTAAAGACACGTTCTATAACTTGCAGTATGTAAGGAGTGGGGGGGGGGATAGACCCATTGGTAGAAGACCCTTAGCTAGAAGGGGGCAACCTTGTTTAATTTTGTCAAACCTTCCACACTTGCTCCTCTTGTATATTTAAAAATGACATCGAAAAATAAAGCAGTCCCACGCTTGGATTTTGTTTGTCCTTTGCATTTAAGGTTTGATATATAACATTACATTGTTGCAGGGTGTATATTGCTAGCAAATCTGAAAATATCACAGAGACACAGAATTCAGATACACTACATAGTTACTACATATATTTTCTTCCTGACTAAGCTGCTAAATGGGTCTGTGCAGCACTCACTGCCGCTAGATGGAGTGCATGGTCCAAAAACAGTAGCTAGAAACATGAGGGTTTAAGTAAATATAGTTATCCTATAGTTTGCAATTCCTGTTGGTGGGTCAAGGACGTCAATGTCCTGTTATTTTGACTACTGCAACAATTACATTACAGCTTGTTCAGTCCATCGCTGTCCTCACTGAATATCTCCACAAGGACAGATTGGCACAAATCCTCATCAGCACAGAGGAGGAAGCCAGAGTGAAAGATCAATAACCCTGCCCCCTGGAGCCTCCCAGCAACGTACTTAACAGTCCTATTACATGCTAGTTAATTCGCATGCTTCCATAGCGCTCTTGAAATGGGCACAATCAATCTCTGAGAAAAGTATATGAAGCTTTCTGTTTCCCTTGTCTGTACATACAGATTACACATACATGCCCCGAAACCTATTTCCTCAATGGTTAGAAGTGAAAGTTTATTATACAGAACTTGGGCAGGTGTGGGTAGTAAGTAGATGTTGATTTCAGACAATAGACAGTTGCACTCAAACTAGCTTACTTATTTTTATCAATTTCACAAAAAGGACTTAAAGCTTTATGGAAAAAGGGCAACACATTTGAAGAAAAAGCTTTTCTGCATGCTTTATTTCCCATCTCCAACCTGAAATGTAAAACTTGTTTTTACGCAGAAGATTATATAAACAGCACACTTTCTCTGATCTCAGCAGAAGCCCCATACAAAAGATGTACATTTAAGATGGGTATTTGTTCAAATATCTATTGGTAAATCATCTTTGACTTGCTTTTCTCGGCTCTCAACCCAGGCTTTGTTAATTGACCTCTTCATTTCATCATCGCCTTCAGCATACATCTTTTTCAGGAGATTCATCAACCCTTCACTCGGGTCCGAGGTGTCATAAGCAGCTTTCCTAGAGCATACAAACATACAAATATACAGAAGATAGATAGATAGATTCTTTATTGTCATTACACAAGTGCAACATTGCACAAGTGCAACGAAATTGGATGCCATCCCTTAAAAACAACAAAAGCAAAACAACAACAACAACCAAACAAACCACCTTCCAGCCACACCCACACCCACACCCATCAAACTCCCAGGTCACACTATCGAGTTACAGCATTCAAAAAGGCCACAGCTCTTGGATAGAAACTGTTTTTCAGTCTATTTGTCTTTGACTTGATGTTTCTATACCTCCTGCCAGAAGGCAGTAGTGCAAACAGACTGTATCCCGGGTGAGATGGATCCTGCAGGATGTTGTTTGCTTTCCTAAGGCAACGGGAACCGTACAGTTCTTCCAAAGGTGGGAGAGGGTGACCAATAATCCTTTGGGCTGTGGTTATGACCTTCTGGAGCACCTTCCTCTCCCTAGCTGTACAACTGGAGAACCAAGCACAAATACAGTATGTAAGTATGCTCTCTATGGAGCCTCGGTAGAAGGACACCAGCAGTCTCTCACTCAGATTGTTCTTCTTTAAAAGTCTGAGGAAATAAATTCTCTGCTGGGCCTTCTTCACCAGAGCAGTGGTATTTGCGCTCCAAGTCATGCCCTGATCGATAGTCACTCCCAAAAACCTGAATTCCGCCACCCTCTCCACCCGTTCCCCGTTGATATACAAGGGCTGAATGTCCGCCTTTTTTTTCCTGTAATCCACCACCAATTCCTTGGTCTTAGCCGTATTAAGAGCCAGATTGTTCTCTCCACACCAAACACAGAGCCGCTCCACCTCGTCCCGATAGGCGGACTCATCCCCTCCTGAAATGAGCCCCACCACCGTGGTATCATCAGCAAACTTGATGATTTTGTTGCTGGAATAGATGGCTGTACAGTCATACGTATAGAGAGCATAGAGCAGGGGACTCAACACACAACCCTGTGGTGAGCCGGTGTTAAGGCTAAGGGCTGTGGACATATGTGACCCTACTCTAACCCTCTGAGAACGTTCTGACAAAAAATCCAAAACCCAGAGACAGGTGGAGTTGGAGAGTCCAATCGTCTCTAGCTTGGACACCAGTCTATGGGGGAGGATAGTGTTAAAAGCAGAGCTAAAATCCACAAACAGCAGCCTCACATTACTCCCCGGCTGCTCCAGATGGGACAGAGCAGCATGGAGAGTGGTGGTGATAGCGTCTTCTGTGGATCTATTTGCCCTGTATGCAAACTGGTAGTTGTCAAAAGTTGATGGAAGACAGGAAATAATATGACGGCGCACCAGTTTCTCAAAACACTTCATGATGATTGGAGTCAGTGCAACTGGTCTGTAGTCATTCAAACTACTGATTGTGGATTTTTTAGGCAGAGGGACAATAGTTGACGACTTCAGGCAGGGTGGGACAATAGACTGGTGTAAGGACTTGTTGAAGATCTTAGTAAAGACCCTCGCCAGCTGATCCGCACAGCCCTTCAACACCTTTCCAGTGATGCCATCAGGTCCAGCCGCCTTCCTCGGATTCACCATCCTCAATACTTGTCTCACCTCGTGCTCCTCTACAGTGAATGAGGGGCCCCTATGGGCTGGTGGCTGTAATACCGGCGTCTCAGGTGGCTCCTTCTCGAAGCGAGCAAAGAAGAGGTTAAGCTCCTCCGCCAGCAAAGGGTCACCGTCGACAGCACCAAGGTTAGGTTTGTAGTTGGTAATATGCTGAATCCCCTGCCACATCTGTCTTATGTTGTTGCTCCTTAAATTATCCTCAATCCTCTGCCTATAATCCAGTTTTGCCCGTCGAATACCCCTCTTCAAGTTTGCTCTTGCCACACTGTAAAGCTGCACCTCGCCCGACCTGAAAGCCCTGTTCCTTTCCCGCAGCAGGCACTGGACCTCTCCATTCATCCAGGGTTTTTGATTAGGGTAAAACCGGATGGATTTATTTACTGTGACAGTGTCTGTGCAGTGATTGATATAGCACAGAACTGCCGCCGTGTGCTCCTCCAGGTCTGAACGATCGAAAATATCCCAATTGGTTCTCTCAAAACAGTCCTGCAGCTGGTGAATAGCACCTTCAGGCCAGATTTTAACAGATTTTAATATTGTTGGAGCCCGTTTCCTGAGTGGGATATATGCTGGTACCAGGAACAGAGACATATGGTCGGACTGGCCCAAGTGTGGCAGCTGTAAAGCCCTATAGCCGTGATTTACATTCGAATAAACTTTATCCAGTGTCTTATCCCCTCTTGTGGGGCATTTCACATGCTGATAGAGCGTTGGGAGCACTGTTTTAAGTTCAACATGGTTGAAGTCTCCCGCAATGATGTGCACAGCTTCAGGATACTTGTCTTGCTGACTGCTGATAAGGCTCTGCAGGCATCCCAAAGCCAAGTTGGCATTGGCATCTGGTGGCACGTACACACCAGTTAGCATAACAGCTGTGAACTCCCTAGGGAGATAGGCTGGTCTACATTTAACAGCCACATATTCCAAATCCGGTGAACAGTGACTGCCCACAATCTTAGAATTATTGGACCAGCATTTGTTCACATATACACACAGCCCCCCTCCTTTGGTTTTTCCGAAGTCCATGCCTCGGTCATGACGATGTACCGCACAGCCTTCCAACTGAATAGCTGTGTCTGGTATGGACGGTTGAAGCCATGTCTCAATGACAAATAAAACGCAGCAATCTTTTACAAGGCTATTCTTTGCTGCCTGCAGCCTCAATTCATCCATCTTGTTGGCAAGAGATCTCACATTAGCAAGAAATATGCTAGGGAGTGGTGGCTTAGATGGACTCCTCTGCAATCTTACCAGGACACCAGCCCGACAACCCCGCCTTTGCCTCCTGTCTCTACGCCGCCTTCGCCTCCTCCCTGGAGGCATAGTAATCCATGGAGAGCCCGGTGGCCTGGCTACTCCCACAGGAACGTTATCTGGGCGAAAATAATCAGCTCTTACAGCTTGTTCACACTGTAACCCGACCTTCAGAAGTTCCTGCCTGCTGTAAATCTGCCTGCTGTAAATCTTTCTTGCCCGGCCAGACATACTCAGACCAAGTAAAATAATAAAAACAAAGCAAAACGCTAAGGGAGAGCACTAAGCCGCAGCGTCTATGCGCGCCGCCATCTTAAGAAAATAATTACATCACCAGTTACACACAAAGTTTGGTATGCATTAAGATTTAAATACAAGTAAGCAACAGTAAAATAATGAGAGCTCCAATCCTAAACCTGTTTACCTGAAAAGTTTTTGTTTTAAGTCTTTGTTGTGGTGGGTTCCCTGAAGTGGCATCTATTATGCATTGAAAACCTTTCACATGGTGTCCTTCAGTTAAAAATACCAGGCAGTTTTTTACTGGTTATTCTGTTCCAGACTGTAAAAGGTAAAGGTACCCCTGCCCGTATGGGCCAGTCTTGACAGACTCTAGGGTTGTGCGCCCATCTCACTTAAGAGGCCGGGGGCCAGCGCTGTCCGGAGACACTTTCCGGGTCACGTGGCCAGCGTGACATCGCTGCTCTGGCCGGCACGGAAACGCCGTTTACCTTCCCGCTAGTAAGCGGTCCCTATTTATCTACTTGCACCCGGGGGTGCTTTCGAACTGCTAGGTTGGCAGGCGCTAGGACCGAGCAGCGGGAGCACACCCCGCCGCGGGGATTCGAACCGCCGACCTTTCGATCGGCAAGCCCTAGGCGCTGAGGCTTTTACCCACAGCGCCACCCGCATCCCGTTCCAGACTGTACTCTTTCTTAAATTTAAAAGGCATCATGAAAGCTCTTTTGTTTTCCATATGCTTTTAGAATTTAACTGTTGGTTGTTCTCCATAGTGATTCAGTCCTTTTACAAAATTCCTTTTTCTTTTTCTAAATGTATTGTCGTAGGTAGTATTTTTGTTGAG